CCTCTACAATTACCCAATATGAATACTACTCTCCTCCTTCCCCTGATGACGGGTTGGGAGTGTTCGCCCCCCCCCCCGCGTATTGTTTTTTACACACAGGATTCCCTGGAGTTGGGTTTTCGCCTTGCATTTTTTTTCAACATGCTGCTCTCGCTGAGGCGCCGGCCTCATTTTCGGGCCCCGCTCGTTCCGAATCGTGCTCCCGCTGCAGCGCTGGCCTCATTTCCGTGCTTCGGCTCGTTCCGAATCGTGCTCCCGCTGCAGCGCTGGCCATTTCCGCGCTTCCACTCGTTCCGAATCGTGCTCCCGCTGCAGCGCTGGCGTCATTTCCCGTGCCATGCCACGGCATGCAATGCAATGCTAGGTTGCGTTCCGCTGCGCGATGCCATGCCTTCAGCTGAAGCTGTGATATGCAGTGCTTAAGTGCCACGTCGTGCTATGCCATGCTACGCTTTGATCGTCAACGCCATGCTATGCAATGTTATGTTCGGGGCCGCTGTGCGATGCCATGCTTTGCGTTGCAAAGCTTTGTGATGCAATTCTTCACTACACGCCACGCCATGCTGTGACATACTACGCTTTGCGGTGCTCTTCTACGCCATGCCATGCCGTGCTCTACAATGCATCGCGTACCCTTTCGGGATCATTGCCCTGCTCGACATCCGACTGTGCGAGTAGAGAGGGGATCTACGCCATGGTAAGGGATGGGAGGGAGGGGTAGGATGTCAGATATGACGCGAGCGCACCTAGCTTGTCCTCCTCCCCCTCCCTCCCTCCCCCTCCCCTCCCCTTCCCCCTCCCTCCCCCTCCCTCCTCCCCTCCTCCTCCTCCTCCTCCTCCTCCTCCTCCTCCTCCTCCTCCTCCGCCTCCTCCGCCTCCTCCTGCTCCATCCTCCTCCTCTTACTTCTACTCCTCCAGTCGGGATGGTCTTGGACTTCTTGGGAAGGGGTGCCGCAAGGCCGAGGCGCACTGTATATGGATAAACATGGAGCCTTTTTGGGCCAGAAGTTTATCCATGTACAGTGCGCCTCAGGTTTCTATGGGGAAGAGAGCCCACAACTCCAGGACGCACTGGATTGGGATATCTACTGCCCGCGCCGCAGAGGGGGGTAGGGTTAAGCCGGGCCTGTCCCTCGACAGGAGTGATATTCAAAAAGAGGAAAACAAACAGTCTAGGAACGATTGGTCTAATATTTGTGTTTGCTATGTGTTGTATAGTTTTTAAGGTTCGTCCAAAATCCACCTGTAGGAGGACATGCCCGATCTAAGGGTAGGGGGGGAGGGGGAATGCTTCTCAGAATCGAAGAAAACAACTGCAGAAACATAGTAATCTTGTGGTGTTCCCCGCGGATTTCTTTGATCCGCGCTGGGGCCCCCTGGCGGCGCCTCCAGCGCCGCCCCTGGCGCGCTCCGCGCGCCAGGGACTGGGGTCCAGCGCGGATCCAAGAAATCTACGCGGAGCGCCAAGAGTTTGCATGTTTTGCGTATTTGTCTTCTTCTAGGGAAGGTTTTTCAGAAGCCCCCTTGCTTCTCAGAAGGCGCGGGCCTTCTCTGCAGGTGTGGGGCTGGCGCCTTCAGAGAAGCAGCCTCCTTCCAAGAAGCCTTCCCCCCTCCCCCTGCCCCCCTCGTGCACGACGCCGACTCAAGGGACGGGGGTCAGTGCAAAAGGAGGTCAGCCGAGGCGCTGGATTCTGCAGGATCTTGCAGAGCTAGGGGCGCATTGGCCCGGGCTCGGGTGAAGGATCCTGCAGGATCCTGCAGTGCCTGGCCGCCCCTGGTCTGGATGGACCTGGCTCAGCAGATCCCCCGAACTGGGCGGGGCAGACTCCGAGGGAATCTTGCGAGGCCCTGGTCATCGGAGCAGAATCAGAGGCGGAAAAAAAAAGAACCGGAGGAGGCAAAGGTACCCATACCCGTATCCTTGCCTTGTTCTGCCCGTTTTGGGCCTCCTGGGAGACTCCTCGTCGCCGCGGCTGGATTCGCCTCAAAACTCTTTGGTCAGTCAGAACGCACACCGGGAGAGGTCCGTCCGGGGAGTAGCTGTATCGGTGCTTTCTAGTTTCCCCAGAGAAGGAGATGCCGATGTCGGCATTCGAAGAACGAGGAGCGGCGTAGTCCTAAATTTCCGGAGCTCCGCGCGGATCTCTCGGATCGGCGCTGTGCGCGCCTGGCGGCGCCTGCGGCGCCGCCATTGGCACGCTCCGAACGCCAGGGAGGGGGGCCCAGCGCAGATCCAAGACATCCGCGCGGACCTCCGAAAACATGTGTCTGTGTAATTTTCGTTTCTCTAGGTGGCCTTCCCTGGGAAGGAGAACGAGTAGCAGTGAATCGCTGCCGTTGGGGGCCCAGCACCGCGTTGCTTCTCTGGCTGGTTCTTTCACAGTAGCATGTCGATGGGTTCCCTGCGGTGGCGTGTCGTTGGCACTGCTTTTGCGCCACGCTCCCCTCGTCTTCGCCGTTCTGGGCCTCCTGGGGGGGGGGGGCCCGGTTTTCCGGATCTCACCCCGAGAGGGGTCGGGGGAGCACTTCCCCTCCTTTTGGTGCGTTGCCTGGGGGTCCAGGGCTCGCCCTTGGGGAGCACTCCCTGGAGGTGCCCGCCGGCCCTGCGTCCCCTCCCAGGGCGGCCTCGCGAACCCCAGGAGGAGGAGGAGGAGGAGGAGGAGGAGGAGGAGGAGGAGGGAGGAGGAGGAGGAGGAGGAGGAGGAGGAGGAGGAGGAGGAGGAGGAGGAGGAGGAGGAGGAGGAGGAGGAGGAGGAGGAGGGAGGAGGAGGAGGAGGAGGAGGAAACTGAGGAGGAGGAAAGTGACGTGCTCCCCCTTCACGCACTGACCGTGACGACGTTGGCCAGCCGGGCGGTCGGCGGTTCCAGGGGCGGGGACTCGAGGGACGGGGCCCTGGGAACAGGACGTGGACAGCACATCGAACCTGCACTGTGTGAGGCTCTTGTCCTCACGGCCCCATCGTCCTCCTCCTCCTCCTCCTCCTCCTCCTCCTCCTCCTCCTCCTCCTCCTCCATCCTAAGACCTCGGGGCCCCATCCCCTTCTCCTCCTCCTCCTCCTCCTCCTCCTCCTCCATCCTAAGACCTCGGGGCCCCATCCCCCATCCTTGAGCCGCCGAGGTGAGCTGGGTGCGAGGCAGGGGGAGAGCGGGAGCGAGGTGGGCCCCGCGCCGGGAGGGAAGGCCCGATCTCGGCTCACGTCTCGCGTGCGAGGCGAGGCGAGATCTCAGGCCGAAGCGAGGATCATCGAGGATCAACGAACTCCTAATCATAATAATAAGAATACCAATAATAGCAATACTAATAGTGATAATAATAATGATAACATATACTATACAAACGGCACAAACACACGGCATAAACATGAGCATAACCATAAACACGGCATACACAAAAACGGCGGCGTTGGGGCCCCGGGGGGGCACCGCCGGCGCCGTTCCTGGGTCGCTCCGCGCGCCGGGGAGGGGGGTCCAGTGCGGATCCAAGAAGTCCGCGCGAAGCGCCGAACGTTTCTGTTTCTGGTTTTCGGGTCCTCCTTCGACCTAATTCACGCAGTGGCGAAGCATCCTGGCGTGCCTATAGGCCTGCCAAACAATGTTCTGAGAACCTTTTGTGGTTTCCGCGAAATGTTCTCGGAACATTTCCGGCCGGGACTGTTTTGAGTTAGCACATCGGGTTTATGTTCTAACGACGTTGTCTTTGTTCTGAGAACATTTTTGGGTTCTAAGAAAATTTCGTGGTAGGACTATAGGAATGCCGGGACGGTCGGTCCCTGCTCAATTAATACCACAGTGGAGACGTGGCCTCACTGATTTCCCCTCTTTCGCATGAGGGATAGTAATTCTGGGTGGTTTGGTTCGATACACTTGCAGAACAGCGTCCCTATCCCTACTGTTCTTGGCCCTCCCAACTTAGGTCCCCTCTCAATGGTTAGGGGTTCTGATAGTTAATCAAAGGAACTGGCACGTCGGCGAGGGCTGGGGCTAAATCGGGCAAGGCGCCTCTGTCCCCGCCTTTTGCGGGGGACGGAAACGTTCGGCGTAACATGCTTCTGGTGGTTTCGCTGCTGGTCCCGTTGTCTGTCCCGTGGGCTGTGCTGTCGGTTGTCCCACCGGGGCTGTCCCGCGGGCTGCTCCACATGGTTGTCCCGTGGGTTGTGCCGTCGGCTGTCCCGCGGGTTGTGTTGTTGATTCTCTCGTGGGCCGTCACGAGGGGGTGTCCCGTGGAGTGTCCTGCGGATTGTGCCGTTGGTTTGTGCCGTTGGTTGTCCCGTAGGTTGCCCCGTGGTTGTCTTCCGGATTGTGGTGCGGGTTGACACGCAGACGTCTCGTGCATGCCCTGCCGGAATGGCATGTCGAATTGCACGTAGAGTTTCAGTCGGCATGCACATCAACATGCACATCGAATTGCAAGGCGATTTGCACATCGAGATGCGCACCCAACAACACATCGAGCTGCAAGTCGAACCTTTCTGTAACAATTGATATATAAGCAGTTTGAATTGCACCTCGCATTCCCGACGACATGATTCTGGACAGCGGATCGCAATGCATTTCGAAGTGCATGTCGAACTGCGAATCGAAGTGAAACCGCCTCGCCAGCCGACATTCCATCTCACATCCACGTCGGGCTGAGCAGCGACACGCAGATCGACGTGCCAGTGGGCATGGGATCGAAATTCAACATTGAATTCAATTCGACATTCCAAACCGATTTCAATCGGACAGCGCACCGACATGGACACTCCTTCCCAAACAACTCCTCATTACGCGAACTTTGATCATATGAAGTATACACAGGTTCGGGGCTCCCAGGTCTGCTTCCGAAGCTCGGGGGGTGTACCCGCAACGGGAAGAAGACAGTCGGCCCCGTCCCGTCCCCTCTCGGGCTTCCTCTGTAGGAACACCTGGTTTTGATTGTAGCCTTGTGGTGAGGGTGTGTGTGGTCGGCCTCCTGAGAAGGGCGCTTGGCTCACCGCCGCGATGGCTTCGGAGAGGAGAGCGGGAGCCAGCTTCATGCGCATTCAGACGAAGTGGCAGCTTCTGGTGTTGCTGGTCGTGCTGAACAACAGCTCGGTGCTGTTCGTGCGACTCTCGCGCACCATGACGGCAGCCGGCCCGCCGTATTTGCACACCACCGCCGTGTTCTTCGCAGAGTTGTTGAAGCTCTTCTGCAGTTTCTGCTGTCTCTCGTTCCGGAACGGAGGGTTGCAGGGTTCCATGTGGTATGTCTTTGAGCATATGAGCCTTGTCGAGCTGGCCCAGACTACAGTGCCTGGCATGCTCTACACTTTGCAGAATAATCTCGTGTACGTCAGCCTTTCCAACCTTAATGGCGCTGTCCATCAGTGCACATATCAGCTTAGAATTTTGGCTACAGCTATTCTGAGCGTAGCGATTTTGGGCAAACAGGTGAGTGCTGTGCAGTGGTCAGCGCTGATTGTGCTCACAGGTGGGGTGGCGTTGATCCAGTTGCCGCGGTGTGCGCCTGTGGTCTATACTTTGGTGGTTGACGAGGGCAGTGCGCTCAAAGGTTTGGTCGCTGTGGTTTCTGCTTGCGTTCTGAGCGGGTTAGCTGGGGTCTGCACCGAAAAGATTTTGAAGAGGAATGACGCGTCGTTTTGGTTGACGAACTTTCAATTCGCCATCGTCTCCTCTGCGATGGGGTGTGTGATTGCCTTGTGGCAGGATGGCGACAGGATCAGGGAGAACGGCTTCACACAGGGCTACACCGGCTGGGTGTGGTGCGCTGTGTTTTCTCAGGCTCTCTCTGGTCTCCTGTCGGGGGCGGTGACGATGCACGCCGACAGCGTTTTGAAGTGCGTCGGCGTCGCCTTTGCGCTTCCCCTCAGCTGCCTCGTGTCCGCCGTACTGCTCAGAGAGTTCTCGCCGGACCTGCGCTTCCACCTGGGCGCGGTGCTCGTTCTGGCGGCGACCTGCATCTACAGTCTCGGCATGCCGAGTTTCGCGAGGCCAAGGAGGGGCCGCCATCACGGGAGGCCCCAGGCGTGCATCCTCGGTGCAGCGAGGGATTTCAAGCCTCAAGCAGTTGCACTTCGAGTTGTGTGCGCCGAGTATGAGCCACCGTGAGCCGTGAAATCCGCACTTGCCCCGCTGCCTCAATCAAGGGAGGAAAAACCACCCAGACTGGACAATTGGCGTCCCTGGGCGTTTTCTAAACATCCCTGCCCTGCTCGATTCCTTCTGTGGGCGCGTTTACTAAAGGCCTCGCGTGTCGGGGTGGTTATTATCGGGGTGGATTTTCTGCCCTCTACTCAAGGCCGACGGTGGAGGCCTAAATACCTGTACAGGAGGTTCGCGCCGCGCGGACGCGACGGCGACCCCACCGCGGGCAGTCAAGGTTGAGCACCGTCGCTGGTGAAGGCTCGGCCGCCATCGCAAGATCTGCGCTGCCGGAGCTCCGTCACCGCTCCAGAGCGGACGATCCACGCGGTGTCGGAGGCTGGCACCCGTGCCCGCCGTGCCTCCCTTCTCTCCTCCCCCGCTGCGCGCGGCTGTGCTGCGTGCAGGAGGGCCGAGGAAGCAGGGCCAGGATCCATGCTTTCCTTCCCGCGGGCTTCGCCAGCCGCCGCCCGCAGCCCTACCCGGCCGCTGCGCTCGGTCTGCCGTGCCGTGCTCTTTGGGCTGGAGGCGTCTTTTTGTTCTCCCAACCTCACGTTGTTGGGTTCTCGTTTTGAATGGAGCGCTGTGGCCGCGTCTCCCCCCCTCCTTCTTTCCGCCTCCCTCCTCCCGCCTGCTGCTCTCGCCGTCCTCCCGGTTGCCTCCCCCTGTTGCCTTTTCTCCTCTTCTCTCCTGCTTACCACCTGGCTTGCACCTGGTGGGCTGCAATCTGCGGAACTGTGTCCACTCGAGGGTTGCTGGGGGTGCCAGCACAGTGGGGCCCAACCCAGACTCAGATTGGACCTCCCGATTCCTGGAGGGCTACGATCTGCGAACCTGTCGCCATTTTCGAGGGCTGCTGGGGGGCCAAACGCTGTCTCTACCCAGATTCTGGTTAGACCTCGCCGTGCCTGGGGGGCTGCGATCTGCGAAACCGTCGCCACTTTCAAGGGCTGCTGGGGGGTCCAGCACAGTGGGGCCTTCCCATATTCAGCTTAGACCTCGCCATCCCTGTGGGGCTGCGAGCTGCGAAACCGTCGCCACTTCCGAATGCTGCTGGGGGGCCAAAAGCTGTCTCTACCCAGATTCTGATTAGACCTCGCCGTTCCTGGGGGGCTGCGATCTGCGAAACCGTGAAACCGTCGCCACTTTCGAGTGCTGCTGGGGGGTCCAGCACAGTGGGGCCTACCCAGATTCAGCTTAGACCTCGCCATCCCTTTGGGGCTGCGAGCTGCGAAACCGTCGCCACTTTCGAGGGCTGCTGGGGGGTCCAGCACAGTGGGGACTACCCAGATTCAGCTTAGACCTCGCCATCCCTGTGGGGCTGCGAGCCGCGAAACCGTCGCCACTTTCGATGGCTGCGGGGGGTCCAGCACAGTGGGGCCTACCCAGATTCAGCTTAGACCTCGCCATCCCTGTGGGGTTGCGAGCTCCGAAGCCGTCGCCACTTTCGAGGGTTGCTGGGGGGTCCAGCACATTGGGGGTCTTACGCATATTCCGATGTGACCTCTCCATCCCTGGGTGGGGCTGCGAGCTGCGAAACCGTCGCCTCTTTCGAGGGCTGATTGCTGGCATACCTCGAAGCATACTCTGTCTCCTTCCTGTGAACGTCTTTTGTCGTCACTCTCGTGCTGCTGCCATGTTCTCTTGCTGCTGCCCAGCCCACGTTTCAAACTCCTGTCCGCATTTTCCTCTCAGTCCTCGCCCCGCTTTCCCACCGACCCAAGGAGCTGACTCAGCACCTCCATCAAGCCCTAGTCCAATGGTCGGTGTCCTGCGAGTCGCGCACCTCGCGAGCCTCCCAGAGCATCCACCTCCTCTCCACGTTATTACCCCCTATACATTCTACCCAGCTATTCTGGCCATGCGTTGCGCAAGGGTTGGGAACATCGCCACGGTGATTATATTAGGTGAACCCGTGGCGTTCGTGTCCCGCGTCCCCAACGGGTGTGGCGCGGTGCTCTCAGGCATGCGTTGGTGGTGACAGGCAGGCGTTGGTGCACGCAACATGCTGTGGCGCTCGCAGGCCGCTGCGGTGCCCATAGGCCACCTCTGGTCGTCGTCCTCGTCCTCGTGGTTCTCGTTCTCGTTGTCGTTGTCGTGTTCATGGTCGTTGTCGCGCCCGCTGGTCTTCGTCCTCGTCGTCGTGGCCGCTACAGGGAATGTTGTTGCTAGCACTGCTACTGGCACTGCTGCCACTGCCATGCCCGCGCCCGCCACGTTATTGTTACCCCTCCAAGGCGGACCGTCCGTAACTGAGGGGAACCAGGGGGTCACGAGCAAATCAGCACACATTACATGATCCCCCATATGCTACCAGATTAGTTTCCCAAAGCTTGATGGTAATCCTGCTTTTGTGTGTGTTGTGTTGATGCCCGCGGTCGCCCCCTCTGCCCTCTTCCCGCTCTTGCACGCTGGCCAATTCGCTTCTCGATGCCCCCGTCTAGCTCCTTCGCTGGTGCAGCCAACTCTGCTTCGCCGCCGACGGAAAAAGTTGTGTTGATGTTGTCATCCTAATAATGGACGTTGCGGAGAGGGGGAACAAATTAGGGGCAACGTCCGGGGAGGCTTATGGGGGCGAGGCATCGAACCCTGATTTCAAAGTCATCCTCGACAGAGGGCCGACAGACCCCGCCGCCCAGGAGCGCAGGCGACCCACCCCGCAGCCTGCCCGCGACCCACCCGGACTCGCCCCGCTCACCCGCTGCCCACCCCTCGCCCGCCCCCGCACTCTCATCCGCAGCGGGTGCTGCGCATCACCTGCAGGCGCACGGCAGGTTCGCGCCGCTTCGACGCGACAGGGGGCCCCTTCCGCGGGTGCTCAAAAGGGTTCACGCCACCGGCGGCCCAGAACCAGCCAGCACGGAACGATTTGGCGATCGAAACGCTGCCGATCGTTCAAGGTTGAACGGTCCACGCGGTGTCAGGAACCAACGCCAGTGTCGTCATAACACGAATTGGCCGCAGCTGTGCTCGTAGGCGTGGAGTCGCTGCACGCCTCTTCAGATGCACGCCCACGCATGCTACCTGGACAGGTAAGATCAGGAGGGGAACAAACACACAGACACAATTAATCGACGATCCCCCAGAAAATATGAAACATATGGAAAACCCAGGAAATGTGGTAAGATATCGGGAATCTTGGGATCTGTATATTTATTTGTGTGTCCCTGGGCCACCCCGTGAGCGCCCGAGCGCCAGGCCCTTCCCAGGCAAACGCGGGACTGTCTCGCTTCCCGCGCCGCGGCCTGGACCAGAGGGCCGCCCTGCCCCAACATTGCCCCGCGAGGGCGCGAAGGTTCCTCTCGGGCCGGGCGAAAGCGGGGGATTGGGAAAGGGGGGGTTACGAAATTTGCTGCATGCAGCTGGTTTCGGCCCCACCGAGGGGCCCATTCCTCGATACATGGCCGCCTCCGGCGCCGGGAGGCGCCGGGAAAATCAGCTCCGTGAGCTGATTCTCAAACCCCCCCTTTGCTATCCCCCCCTTTTGCCCGACCCGATCATCGCGCCAGCAGCATCGCAGAGCAGACTTCGTTCGGAAAGAAATGGGATAGGCCCGGAGTGCCCCAGAGAATTTCGCTCGGGATTTCGAGGTGAATGTCGTGCGGATTTTTGGTTGGCCATGAACGAAGACAAAACACATCCACGCGAAATTCAGCTCGTCTTTCACTCGCCATTTCGGGGTTTTGCACTGACAGAAATCCACGCAACAATCCGCTGCATCACGTCTGCTAGGAATCCCAGGGAGTCCAGAAGTCAGAGAAACTTCAAGACTCCCGTTCTGAATTTTGATGGTCCCGTTCTCGTGGGGTGTCTGCAGCGGGAGCCCGCGTCAAATTTCAGATTGGGTCTCGTCATTTTTAGGATGGCCCCCGTCAGGCCCTTCCGAGTCCCCCGCGAGGAGAGTCGCTGAGAGCCCCGGCGTTAAGTCGGGCCTGTCCCTCTACAGGAGGACTATTCCAAGATTGTCTAGCATTAGTCGGGGGACGATGTTTTGAGCACTACTAGGCCATCTTGGGGTATTTCTGGACTACTCTTCCTTTAATCAAGCAATGACGAAGCGTCCTGGCTCGCCTATACCCCTACCGAACAATGTTCAAATAACCTTTGGTGGTTCCCACGAAACGTTCTTAGAACATTTCTGGCTGGGAGCTTCTTGGTTTAATACATCGGGTTTATGTTCTAAGAACATGGTGCTTCTTTTTAGAACATTGTTGGGTTCTAAGAACATCTCGTGATAGGACTACAGGAATGCCGGGACGCTCGGTCCCTGCTCAAGCCGTGGCTGAGCTCTCGTCCTGCTCCTGGCGCTCCTGCCCGGGCCCGACCCCTCGACACGACGAGCCACATCGTGCGCCGGCTCTCGGTGGATTCTACCCCAGGCCTCTCACGAAGCGTCCGCAAGGAGCGTGCATGGGTCGGCGTCACCCCAACATACTTATACTATATGTGCGTCGCCCCCCCGGGGGCGATGCGCGCACCGAGGAATCTTATAGTATATGCGTTGTGGCGGGCCCATTCTGGCCACACCGCTCGGGAAACGATATACTACAAGATGGGTATACTATATGTTCGGGTCGGACGCGCGCGTCCAAGGATGACATATAGTACCAGTACGTCTTTGTGCATTCCAATGGGCGCAGTGCTGTAGGAGGACCGGCCCGACCTCACCCTGGCGGCCCCCTGGCAGGTCGGCGGATCTCCGCCCGCGCTCTGCCGCCGCGGGGGCCACCCCTCGGGGCGCTCGTGCGGCGCGCGCTCCGGCGCCGGCCGCGCGGCGGGCAGGGTCGAGCCGCAGGGGGCGGGGGTCGGAGCAAGCGGGGGTCGGGGGAGGAGTTCGAGGAGGGGGAGTTTGAGGAGGCGGAGGAGGAGGAGGAGGCGGTGGAGGAGGCGGAGGCGGAGGAGGCGGAGGCGGAGGAGGAGGAGGAGGAGGGGAGGAGGAGGAGGAGGAGGGGGAGGAGGAGGAGGTGGAGGAGAAGGAGGAGGGGGAGGAGGAGGGGAGGAGGAGGAGGTGGAGGAGAAGGAGGAGAAGGAGGAGGAAGAGGAGGAGGCGGAGGAGGAGGAGGTCGGGCGTGTCCCTCTACAGGAGGAATGTTCAAAAATAGTTAAAATAGTATGGGGGCGGTTTTTTGCATATGTGTTTGAACAATGTTAGATTATTTCCCTATATCCTGAGGATGGGGTTCTTGTTAGTCCCCATATCCTAAGATGGGGTTCTTGTTATTACTTGGACGCCTCCTACTCCTCCTCCTTCTTCTTCTCCTTCTCCTCCCCTCTCCTCCTCATGGACCCAGACTTACTCATACACAGACTGACTCACACTCAGACTTACTCATTCATACCCAGATTTACTTTCACACACACAAAATTACTTTTACTCAGACCTACTCCTACTCAGACCTACTCCTACTCAGACTTACTCATGGTGAGACTTACGCACGCCCCGTTCGCGGCCGTTCTGTGGGGATGCCTCAAGCGGGTTTGCTTGTGTTCTGTCCCAACATCCTTGGCTACCAGAGCAGATTGTGAGGATGTCTCAGGCGGGGCGCTGGTTTCAGCTCCCCCTGAGGGGAGCCGCCAGGGGTTATCTCACGGTCCCGTTCGCGGCCGTGTTGTGGGGATGTCTCAAGCGGTTTGCTTGTTTTCTGTCCCAACATCCTTCGTTTTCGGAGCAGGTTTGGAGGATGTCTCGAGCGAGCCGCTCATTTTCACCTCCCTAAGGGGAGCCGCCAGAGGTTATCTCACGGCCCCGTTCGCGGCCGTTTTCTGGGGATGTCTCAAGCGGTTTGCTTTTTTTTCTGTACCAACATCCTTCGTTTTCGGAGCAGATTTGGAGGATGTCTCGAGCGAGGCGCTCATTTTCACCCCCCTAAGGGGAGCCGCCAGAGGTTATCTCACGGTCCCGTTCGCGGCCGTTTTGTGGGGATGTCTCAAGCGGTTTGTTTATTTTCTGTACCAACATCCTTCGCTTTCGGAGCAGATTTGGAGGATGTCTCGAGCGAGGCGCTCATTTTCACGTCCCTAAGGGGAGCCGCCAGGGGTTATCTCACGGTCCCGTTCGCGGCCGTTTTGTGGGGATGTCTCAAGCGTTTTTTTTTCCCAACCCTCCTTGGTTGGGTATTCGTTTTGAATAGAGCAGTGTGGTCGCGTCCTTCCTCCTCCCACCTCCCGCCTCTTTCCTGCCTCTTTCTGTCTTGCCTGCGGGGGGCTGTGAAACTGTCGCCAGTTTCGAGGCCTGCTGGGGGGTCCAGCATAGAGGGTAATCGCGGCAGATCCAAATTAGACCTCGCCATTCCTGGGGGGCTGCGATCTGTGAAACTGTCGCCACTTTCGAGGCCTGCTGGGGGGCTCAGCATAGAGGGTAATCGCGGCAGATTCAAATTAGACCTCGCCATCCCTGGGGGGGGGGGGCTGCGATCTGTGAAACTGTCGCCACTTTCGAGGCCTGCTGGGGGGTCCAGCATAAAGGGTAATCGCGGCAGATCCAAAGTAGACCTCGCCCTCCCTGGGGGGCTGCGATCTGTGAAACTGTCGCCACTTTCGAGGCCTGCTGGGGGGCCCAGCACAGTGAGGGCCACGCGCGGATTCAAATTAGACCTCGCCATCCCTGGGGGGCTGCGATCTGCGAAACTGCCGCCATTTTCGAGGCCTGCTGGGGGGCCCAGCACAGTGAGGGCCACGGGCAGATTCAAATGAGACCTCGCCGTCCCTGCGGGGCTGCGATCTGTGAACCTGTCGCCACTTTCGAGGCCTGCTGTGATCCCCGTTTTCGAAGTGGCTAGGAGTGCACAGGAATTGTAAATCATCAGCTTTATCAAGCCCTTTTCCTGTAGCCAGTGTCCTGCGAGTCTCCCGAATTCCGTCTGCAGACATATGTAACCCTCGCTCCGTCATCGCTCCCTTATAAAGTATCCTAAACTATTTGCGCCCCGCTTTTGCGCAGGGGTTGGGTACGTCGCCAGGGTAATTTGTTTTTGTTTTTTTTGTTTTCTGTCCCAACAGCCTTCGTTTTCGGAGCAGATTTGGAGGATGTCTCGAGCGAGGCGCTCATTTTCACGTCCCTAAGGGGAGCCGCCAGGGGGTTATCTCACAGTCCCGTTCGCGACCGTTTTACGGTGATGTCTCCAGAGGTTCGATTGTTTTCTGTCCCAACATCCTTCGCTTTCGGAGCAGATTTGGAGGATGTCTCGAGCGAGGCGCTCATTTTCACCCTCCAGGTGGACCAGATTTTGAGGATGTCTCGATCGGTGGCCAGACTCGTGGGCACAGATTCTCCTCAGCATGCCACAGGAGGCTCCAACAGGCTCCAGGAGGCCCCAGGAGACCACATGAGGTCCCAGGAGGCATCAGGAGGCCACGGGAAGACTCAAGAGGCCATAGGATGTCCCAAGAGGCTCTAGGAGGCCCCAGGAAGCTCCAGGAGGCCTCAGGAAGCCACAGGAGGCCCCAGGAGGCCAGAGGAACCGCCAGGAGGTCTCGGACGGCAACAGGAGGCCCCGAGAGGCCCCAGGAGCAGGAGGCCTCAGAAGGCAACAGGAGTGGCTCCAATCCCATGTGTTTTACGTATGCTCCTACAGATTGGGCCTCACTTGGAGCACTGTTATACGTATGTTTCTATCGATTGTCCTTCTCCTGTGTACTTCTGTTCCTATAGGGCCTCTCCTGGGGCACGAGTCCTTGGTGTTTTACGTGTGTTCCTATAGATTTCCCCCTTCTCCTGTGGCTCCAATCCGCAATGTTTTATGGACGTCTGTTGCTATAGATTGGGCCTCTCCTGGGGCACGAATCCTCACTAGGAGGTCCCAGGAGGCCCCAGGAGGCTCCTGGAGGCCCCAGGAAGCCCCAGTAGGTTTCAGGAGGCCCCAGGAGGCCCCAGGAGGACTCAGGCTCATGCGCAGAGACGCGCTCGTACTACTGAGGCTCATTCACACTCCAATTGATTCTCAGTTAGATTCATGACCAGACCGTCACAACTGAAGCCCGTTTATATTCGAAAGTTCTTGCGCCTAGACATTCACGACGGACAGGTCCATGCGAATAGATACACATATGGGGAGCTCCACGCAGTGAATAATTTTTCAGACCGCATGGAACGAGCACCTCCCACACTCAGGTCATCATTCTCTGACTCACTCACATGCAGACTCACTCATATCCAGACCGACTCATACTCAGATACACCTGCCCTTAGATTATTGATACTCAGGTTTCTCTTGCTCGGAATCATTCATATTCAGACTCACTCACTCTCCTGGTACTTCCGCGCTCAGACTCACACACACGTTGTGAGGATGTCTCAGGCGAGGCGCTGGTTTCAGTGCTCCCAAGGGGGGGCGCCAGGGGGTATTGCATTCCTCCTTTCGCGCCAAAATGGCGGGGATGTCTCGAGCGGTTTGCTTGTTTTGGTGCCCGGCATCCTCCGCTTTCGGAGCAGATTCGGAGGGTGCCTCGAGCGAGGCGCCCATTTTGGCCTCCAAAGGGGAGCCGCCACACGGAATTGCACTCCTCCGTTCGCGCCACGATGATGGGGATGTCTCGAGCGGTGTGCTTGTTTTGGTGCCCGACTTCCTCCGCTTTCGGAGCAGATTTGGAGGGTGTCTCGAGGGAGACGCTCATATTCGCCTCCGAGGGGGAGCCGCCAGGGGAAATTGCACTCGTCCGTTCGCGCCGAAATGGTGGGGATGTCTCAAGCGGTTTGCGTGTTCCAGTACCCGACATCCTTAGCTTTTGGAGCAGTTTCTGAGGATGGCTCAGGCGAGGCGCTGGTTCCACTACTCCCAAGGGGGGGGGGGCGCCAGGGAGTATATCACAGGCTCGTTCACGCCCAGATTAGGGGGGTGTCTCTTTCGGAGCAGTTCCCGAGGATGTCTCAGGCGAGGCGCTGGTTTCAGTACTCCCAAGGGGGGGGCGCGAGGGGGTATATCAGAGGCCCTTTCGCGCCAAGCATCGGGGGATGTCTCAGGCGGTTTGCTTGTTTGGGTGCCCAACATCCTTCCTTTTTCGACGCAGTTTTCGAGGATGTCAGAGGCCAGGCGCTGGTTTCATTACTCCCAAGGGGGGACGCCAGGCGGCATTGCACGGGCCCGTTCGGACCAGGTTGGGGGGATTTCTCAGGCGGTTTTCTTGTTTGGGTGCTCAACATCCTTCTCTTTCGGAGCAGTTTCCGAGGATGTCTCAGGCGAGGCGCTGGTTTCAGCACTCCCAAGGTGGAGCGCCAGGAGGTATTGCAAGGGCCCGTTCTCGTCTTCACGGATGGATTTTCCTGACAGGTGTTCTGAGGGAAAAGAGGAGAAAGAGGAGGTGGACAAGGAGGAGCAGGAGGAGGAGGAGAACGGAAGGAGGAAACAACTACTTCAAGTCGTCGTAGGCTTTGTTTTCCAGGTGGATTCGCTGATACTCGGATATTGAAATGGACGAAATCTTCTTCCGAAGTTTGCCATCCCTAAGAGATGCACATATGGGGATCTCCGCGTCGAGTAATTGTTTTTATTTTCATTTTTCGTCCAGATACCGCCTGTAGGGGCACATGCCCGACCTAACCTTAGCACCGCATCTCGCAGAATGCTTGTGCGCCAGTTTTGCACTGACCCGGGCTAGCGCGCAGGGTCCTCGAAGAAGAAGAAACACAGTTAACATAAACTTGTGGCGCTCCGCGCGGATATCTTGGATCTGCACCAGGCCCCCCCAGGCGGCTCCTTTGGCGCCGCCCCCGGCGCGCTCAAAGCGCCAGGGATGGGGGTCCAGCGCAGATCCAAGAAATCCACGCAGGATCCCGCAGCGCCCGACTGGCCCTGGTTTGCATGGACCTGGGCCAGTAGATCCCTGACATGGGAACGCCGTGTTGGCGGTCCGGCCGCCGCGTCTCCGCCACTGTTCGGGGAAACGTGAGGCTCGAGTCGTTGCGTGCGTGATGTTTCAGGCTTCCCAGATGGGGTCAGAGAAGGTGGGGTCGGATCGCGCCGCATCGCCGATGCATTGGCGATGCGGCTCGATGTGGAGCCCGCTTTTTCTACACGCTGATGGCGGCGATGTAGCGCTGACGTCGCCGAGGCATATGGCATGTACCGCCGATGGATCTGTTGCCGATGCATCGGCGATGCGGCCCGATCTTCCAGAACCCCATCTACTCGGACCCCATCTAGGAAGCCTCTAATAAGATTCAAGCAAGTGTCGGGGAAACGTAAGACTCGAGTAAGCCAGAACTCGGGTCTGCCGACGTTGTTTGACGAGCGTGTCCTGGACTGGGACGGTCCGATCTTGGCGGGATGTCTGCTGCGGGAGCTCGCGTCGAATTTCAGACTGGGTCTGGTCATTTTCATGATGGCCCCGTGAGGCCAGCCCGAGCCCCGCAGCCGAGCTTACCGCCTCCCCGCAGTCGGTTGCGTGCTGTCCGGCCCTGAGCCAAGCCTCCCGGTCGGTGTTTAACGGGCGCAGAACGGCGTAACGTTAACTTGTTCGCCGTCGGGGACACCTGCCCCAGGGCGGCTGGAAGGTTTATACCCCTACGGTGGCACCGTAGGGGTACAAACTTTCCAGCCGCCCAGGGGCAGGTGTCCCCGACGGCGAAAAAGTTTATTTTATACCGTTCTTCGCCCGTTAAGGTGTGGGAGGTCGCCGCGGCGATCGTGGCGGGCACGACTCGGGACAAACCATTTTTATCGAGGGGGGGGCGTGCCCCCCCCCCCCCCAGGCTCCCCCGCTCTGCGGTGGAGACGTCGCTCCTAGTGGCCATTAGAGCGACACGGGGTTCAGTTCGAGGTCGACTCGATTCGGCTCGATTGCGATTATTTCCGATTGCGATTCGATTCGACCTCGGATTCCGATGTGGGATCCGATTTCCCAATGGAGGCCTACGAGCCTGCGGATGTCTGCCGATTCGACGTTTCCCGACTCGTCCGCCGATTTCCGCCGATCCGATTTATTTCGATCGCCGATCGGACTTATCGATTCGATTCTGGGCTCTCCTGCCAATAGAACGACAGGGAGTTTTCAACGTATGTCGAACACAAGCAGTTCGCTGGAACTCGGGTTTGCTGGCGCCTGTTGACGGCCTGACGGTGCAGTCTTCGCGGGGCGTTTGCGGCGGGAATTCGTGTCAGATGTCAGGCTGAGTCTCGTCGTTCTCCGGACGGTCCCGTCAGGCTATCCCGAGTCCCCCGAGCCTGAGTCTCGCGTCTCCCCGAACCGTGGCCCCCCCCCGCGCACCGGGACGATGTTTCTACTGGTTGTTTCCATTTGGGAGCATCTTTCCAGTATGTTGCACGTTTCGCCCAACATCCGCCTGTATCGGGGGAGCGTAAGACCCGGGTTTACCAGGACTCGGGTTCGCCATCGTTTTTTGACGACCGCGACTCGGATTTTGACGAGTAGGAGTTGCGTGGGATGTCTGCAGCGGGAGGCCTCGTCAAAGTGAAGGCTCGGCCTCGTCATTTTTTGACGACCTCGTCGGGGACTTCCGAGTCCCCTGTACCCGGGTCTCACGCCCCCCTGACTGCAGGGGGACATGCCCGACCCAAAGCGTAAGCGCCCTCTCCTCCGAGCGGTGCGCCGCGCTGGCGGCGGCGCGCAGGCCGCGGCCGAGGCCGCCCACGGTCGGGGCGCTGAAGAAGGAGCCCTCCTCGTTGGGGAGGGGCCCGGTGTTCCTTGAATGTTTCACAGTTTGCCTCGGGTTTTCCTCGGGTTTTCCATGGGAAACCGAGGTTGAACGTATGGGAAAGAGGGGCCTCGTTCCTTATGTGGGGTTCCTTAGGTCAACGCCCCGACTGTATGTCCTCTTGTGTGAGACCCGCCGTTTCTTTCCGCCGCTCGGTTGCAGCTCGCCGTGCTGCGGCTGCAGCTCGCTGACTTCGTGGGCCCTGGACGCGACAGGGCCGTTTTTTGTTGCCGGTTCCGTTTTGCCGTTTTTGTTGCCGGTTCCGGCGCCGCTTTTTTACCGGTTCCGTCGCCATTTTTTGACCGGTTCTGGCTCCGGTTCCAATCCTGGAGCTGTTTTTTTGCCGTTTCCGGTCGCCGTTTTTTTGCCGTTTCCATGTTCAAGGGGCATTTCTTTGGAAACGGTGAAAAAACGGCCCTGCCGTTTCCGGGGCCCACAAAGCGCTGACAGTTTCTAGGCCTCGTAGGTGGGGTCCGAGCAGGTGGGGTCGAAGGGTCGCGCCGCACCGCCGATGCATCATCGACGATGCGGCTCGATGTGGAGCTCGATGTTCCCCACGCTGGCATCGCGGATGCGTCGCCGACGTCGCCGATGCATCGCCGATGCATCGCCGATACGTCGGCGATGCATCGACGATGCGGCGCGATCCTTCGACCCCATCTACTCGGACCCCATCTAGGAGACCTCTACAAGTGCTCTCCTGTATCCCGGCCGTCTCGGGAGCTTCTCAGGTTGTCTTCCTCCTCCGCCTGCTGCGCCGTGGCCCAGCAGTTCGAAGGCTGCCGGCTGCTGCCAGCAGAGGCTCGCTTTCCACCGCCGTCTGGTTGAGGGGCTTCGGCCCGCAGGCCAGCCGGCGGGAGTTTTGCGCAAGTTATCCGGGGGCCACCGATGCCGGCGAATTGTCGCTCGGACGGGGATGGGACGAGGAGAAATCCGTTCCAGAGCGGTCCGGGAAGCTCTCAGAGCGTTCGGGAACGCCTTGAGAAGGCCGCGGCACCCGAGGCATTTTCCAGAGCCGCCAGACCCGAGAGGTTCTCGATTGATCCTCACCCGAATTGTATCCTCGCCTGGGCTTCGTCTTCACAAGCTATCCGGGGGCCACCGATGCCGGCGCTCTGTCGCCAAGCAGGGGCTCGGAAGACTGGGCATTCTCGGTGGGGTCGGAGTAGATGGGATCGGAGGATCGCGCCGCGCGGCTCGATGTGAAGCCCGATTTGCTTCACGTCGACGTCGCCGCTGCATCGCCGACGTCGACGGATCCCTGTGCCCCCGCTGCCGGCGCTCGGTCGCCAAGCAGGGGCTCGGAGGGGCCGGGGCTCCACAACGACCCCGGGCGGGCAGCCGCAGGGGCGGGGCAAGGAGCGCGGGTGGCTCGGGTTAGGTCGGGCATGTCCCTCTACAGGAGGAGCCTCCAGAATAGTCAAATTCTTGACGCGTCGCGTATCCCCATCCGGTTCCCTGGATTCGCCGTTGCATGACCCGTCCTGGGACTGCCCTGCAGACTCCCTGGATTGCATGCCTGGCTCAGGCGTTTGGGCCGCTGCTGCCTGCCGTCTGACCGCGGCTTCGCGCGCGCCCGTCTCCACGCGCCATTTCGGCGGCGTCTTAATTCTCGGTGGCCGACAGACTCCCTGGGTTTGCCACTTGCACGTGTCCTGGGCGTTCTTGCAGACTCCTTGGATTGCACGCTCGCTGGTTCCGAGCCGCCCTGGGTCGCTGCCCCCCCCCGCCGCCTGATCCGCGGCCCCCGCGCGCGTCCGGGAATTTAGTCGCGGCCGCAGCCCGACCGTGACCGCCCGCCGTCGGCGCTTCCGCCTGCGGCTGTTAAGAAAAATCCCCACCCGGTTCCGTAGCCTCTTGCTCAAGCCGTCTCTGGGCCCTGGCCTTCGGCCGGGTCTCCCAGCTCAAGGGGTCTCCCCTAGGAGTCTTTTGGGCCGCGCGTCTCCCCCGGGGCCGGGCCGCCATTGCAGACTCCCTGGATTCCCCGTCTTCGGCTACGTGCGCGGCCCTCCGGCTTAGCATGGATGGGCGATCGATCGGCGATGATCCTGCCATCCCAGGGGCGACGATGACCGCGTCACCAGTCGTCGACCTTGGGGCCTGCGGACCTGCTGATTCAAGGCAACCTCGCCCTGGATCACAGGACACCATCCCGCCAGGGCAGCCGTCGCCCCCTGCTCCCTGGAGTGGGAACGCTTCCGCCGATGCCTCATGCGCACGAGAACCGTTGACCCTCAGCCAAACGGGAGGAGGGGTGGATGCTCTCAGCCCCGCGACGCACACTGATATTGCGACCTTCAGTCGCTTCCCTGGATTCGAGATCGGCGGGCATGAGACGGTAGGAGGGGTTGATGCGTTCAACCCCGCGATGCACACTGACTTTACGACCTTCAGTCGCTTCCCTGGATGTGATAATGGCAGGCATGGCGCCCTCCCGCCTAGCTTATCCCCCTCTCTCACCCCAACCCTTCCCATGCCCATTGCTGGGCGCCCTATCTCTTTTTCCCCAGGCGGGGCTGGGCAGAGTGGGATCGCCCTCGGCGATGCCAAGTTTACGGGCGGCGAGGGCCCCACTCCTGAACCAGCTAATCCCCCCACGGCTCCAGGTCCTCGTAGGCAGTCTGACGAGGGGCAGAGTGATGCCCTCGGCGTTCGACCCCGGGGCCTCTGCGACGTGGAGGGGGGGACTAGGGAATTGACACCCCCAGGAGGCGCTCGCGAGGGCGTCGGAAGGGGAGACGGGCAGAGGCCCACCCCTGGCTCCGACTCGCTTCACAGAGGCTTGTGCCTTCACTCCGCCGAGCCTCCCCTTCTGGACATGCCTGCGCCGAGTGAAGCAGCCTTCAGCTGCGAATTGAACAGAGGAGATGGGCCTTCAGCCCTTGGAGCGCCTTCCGACGCCGACGCAGCGCACAGTCGCTTCCATGGAATTGAGAGCGGCAGGCACGATACTGGAGGAGGGGGTGATTCGTTCACCCCTGCGATGCGCACAGATATTGCGACCTTCAGTCGCTTCCCTGGATCGGATGACGGCAGGCAGAGGGATGCTCACGGCGTTCGGCCCAGGGGCCGTTGCGACGTGGAAGAGAGGACCAGGGATCTGGCCCCCACAGGGGGTGGTCGCGATGGCGTCGAAAGTATGCACACTGACATTGCGACCTTCAGTCGCTTCCCTGGATGTGATAACCTCAGGCATGGTGCCCTCCCGCCTAGCTTATCCCCCTCTCTTACCCCAACCTTTCCCATGCCCACTTCTGGGCGCCCAATCTCTTTCTCTCCAGGCGGCGCTGGGCAGAGTGGGATCGCCCTCGGCGATGCCAAGTTTACGGGGGGCGAGGGCCCCACTCCTGAACAGGCGAATCCCCCCGCGGATCCAGGTCCTCGTAGGCAGTCTGACGAGGGGCAGAGGGGTGCCCTTGGTGGTCGACCCAGGGGCCACTGCGACTTGGATGGGGAGCCTAGGGAGCTGACACCCCCGGGTGGCGCCCGTGAGGGCGACGGGAGGGGAGACGTGCAGACGCCCGCTCCTGGCACCGATTCGCTGCCCAGAGGCTTGTGCCTTCACTCCGCCGACCCCCCCCCCTCCTCCTGGACGCACCCGCGCCGAGCGAGGCAGCCTTCAGACGCGAATTGAACATGGAAGATTGGCCTTCAGCCCCTGGAGTGCCCTCCGACGCCGACGCAGCGTCCAGCCACTTCCCTGGGCGCGAGAACGGCAGGCGCGAGCCTGGAGGAGGGGGGGATGCGTTCATCCCTGCGATACACAGATATTGCGACCTTCAGTCGCTTCCCTGGATCGGATGACGGCAGGCAGAGTGACGCCCACGGCGGTCGACCCAGGGGCCGTTGCGACGGTGAAGAGAGAGCCAGGGATTTGGCTCCAACCGGGGTTGTTTGCGAGGGCGTCGGGAGGGGGGATGGGCAGACGCCTGCCCTAGGCGTATTGGGAGGCAGCGGTGCTGACATAGAAGACGGGCCTTCAGCCCCCGCGGCAACCTGTGATCGCATGGGCGTTGACAGAAGCGCTGTGCCCGCGACCACGAGTGGAGGGGGCCCCGCCCCTCTTGGTTCCCCTGGCGCTCCACTCCCTGGAGGTGCGGGCGCCGACGCCAGAGACGCATTCAGCCCCCGCGCAGCAAACCTCGCTGGTGAGACAGGCCCTCTGCCAGAAGGAAGAGAGCGAGAGACGGGTGATCCCGAGGTCGGGGGTCGCAGTGAGGCGCACTCCTCCACGAAAGAGATCGACCGCAATCGACCTTCCCCGGGAGTGACGGCTGGGTGGCCCTTTGGGCTACCCCACTCGCCCAACGCCGCCAGGATCGCTTCCGACCCCGCGGTCGGGGCCGCTCCCCTGGTCGATCGAAGCGATCACGCCAGATCTCCGATCGCTGCTGACGGGTCGCCTCGTGCCTTCCCTCCCTCGCCCGCCAGCTCTTCCCCCGACTTCTCCCCTCCCGACCCGCCTCCTGGGCTCGAGTTTCCTGATGGCCCTTCTGGCGGATGCCGCCGCGGCCTTGAGTACTCGTCACAAGACAGGGAACGGGGGCCCCTCCTTTGGACGGACAGCGGTTCGCCTCTCGTGGTGAGTCACGCGGCACATGGGGGCCCTATCCTAGCTGACCCATCCTCCTACCCATCCCCAGACCTTGCCCTGGAGGAGGAGTTGCGGATGGAGAACCAGCACACCCCCTCAGATGCCGAGGATCCCAGTGAAGCGCGGAGAAACAGAGGACAAGGCGCTGCTGACCTCCACGCCCGGTGGTTGGACGCTACTGGGCACGCGAATGCTGATTGGGCGGCCAGTCGGGGGGCGGGCGGACCCATGCGCGGCCCGCGCGTGGCGGGCGCCAGGGTCACCGGCAGGGGAGGCGCCATGAGGGCCCTCCGTCGGCACCTGGTGCGCATTGACGGCCCTTGGCGCGAGGTCCCCGACCGCGGCGCGCCGAGAACCCCGCACGAGACCAGTAACCTTGACTTTCTCATTCACCATGCGTGGATGGGGGCGCCGCTCAGGCCACCCGGGCATACGAGCCGACAGCCCCATGCGGGTGGCTCCTGCAGAAGCCGCCCTCCCTGGACCCGGCTCGGAGCTAGCCACTTCGGCCCCGATCCTCGCCATCCTGGACCACTCCTGGCTCGTCTGGTCCGTCACTGGAGGAGACTACGAAGGGCGTCTAGGAGGCGTGCAACCTGACCCAATACAGGTCCTCGCCTTCCGCTTTGCGAGCATCACCCATGACCCCAGCGTAAGAAAGGAAAGGCTGGACGCCGCCGACCCCTCATGGACGGAGAGACAGCTGGCTCGTCTCGAGTACGTCGCCATGGTTGCCGCTGCGCATTACTGCGACATAGGCATGGAGCTCTCGAGCGGTTTTGAGACAGATAGGATGCTCATGCCCACCAGATCTCCCGAAGATGCTGTCCCCCTGCGCAGCAGTGGCCCCAACCGAACAGACGGGGCGCGGGACCCCGCAGATGATGGGGCCGTGGAGTATGCCCACAGGGTCCTGATTCATGAGCGCAGACAAAATATAGTCCACTTTCCGGACCACGGGGACGTCAGGCAGTGGGCCATCACGAGAGGGAACCTCGAACGGGCGGGGAACGACGTGCACTCGAGGCGACAAGCAGGTAGAGGCCCAGTACCATGGGTAGAGCCCGCCTTCTCAGGGATACCCGCCAGCTCAACGGGCTTCCCTGGGGTATCGATTCAAGGGAGCGACAGTAGCGACAACGCGTGGCCCTGGGCCACCACAACGCATAGGCTACGAATGCGGAATTTTTTCTGCCCGAGAGAGAGATGTGAGTTCTGCGGCACCTGGATGCTTCGAGATCCCACTGGGCGAATCTGCATCGCCTGCCACAGGCTGGCCAACCCCTGGAGCTACAACCCAGGGGAACCGCGAGCAGAGGACTTACCACAGAGTCACCCAGGCGCAGGCCTGGGCCAACCTCCCAACAGGCATGCCCTCGACCTCGTGGACAACGCTCTGCTGATGCAGCTTGTCAGAGCGGGCATGCGGTTCGCCCCAATCGCAGAGCATCTCTACCCCCCCACCCAGCCTGGCCCCTCCGACTTCACCCCGACCTGTCTCGTGGGCGAACTCCTGGGAGCCTGGAGACATATGGTGGCCCACGCCGCAGGCCTGCCTGG